CTAATATGACGTTCCAATATATATTGTATATATATTTTTTTAAAAAGTCAAATGTCAAAGTATAGTACAGGGAGTAGCTCATAAAGTTGGATTTAATTAAAATTTGTTATGATGTGTAACAAAAACATTTTTAGAAAGGTAATTATACTAGGTTATATGAATCCCTATAGAAAATAATGACAGTTTTAATCACTTTTTTAAAGTATTTAATGTTTAAAAAAATAAACATTGATTTCGATTTTATTTTTATATTTACAAAATATTTAATACTTTTATTTGTGACCAAAAAAAATTAGATAATAATTTATTAATGGGGTAATTGGTCAATTTAAATAGAAATAAAAACACTATAATTTTATAATTGTTCCACAATTATTATTTCACAATTATTTTTAATAAAATATAAACTGTATCAATAAATTATTATATTATTATATTTAGTTTAAACGTCTTAAACAAATTATTAATACAACCTATAGAATGTGCAAATTAAGTTTAATACATTTTTGAGTTTTGATATCTTTAAGGAAATATGTATGAAACTGCCAAATATTTCAATTTGCTTTAACTTTCAAACAGGTGGCAGCTCTATGTCCATTTATTGCCTTACAGCTGATTTCACTGTTTATAAACGTGCAGAAGTATGTATAGTTTAGTTGTTGTGAATTGAATTGAAGTGTAATAGCATGACAGCGGTATAAATAAATAGGCGTAAAACCAAAAGTGACTATAGTTGGAACCCTCAAAGAACGTAATTTGCATAAATCGTTCAAGTCTCGAATCATGACACGTTATAACAAAAAAAGTAGTGCTGTAAAACACTATGGGAGTGATAAAAAAAACTACATTTGTCGCAGTTCGGAATGAACCAAATTAAAAGAGTTGGATACTTAGGTACACAGTTTTAGTTGAATTAAATAATATACATTCATATTAATATGATTTTTAATGTCCGTTTTTACGACAAAATCTAAATTTCTGTTATAAACTATTGCTTTCAATAGAGAGGTTTTTATCGAACAGTAGTGAAACTGCAACAACAAAAATTTATTATTATTTTTAATAAATTGAATTTTTGGCAGACCATACAGCTGGTACAAATATTTATTATTATTTTCAATAAATTGAATTTTTGGCAGACCATACAGCTGTTTCAAAAATTGCCAAATACCCTCATAAGCGGTCTTCGAAATATTTTTTTTATTTTATTATTCATAAATAGATTTTTTCGAACAGTAATGAACTACAACAACAAAAATTTTTGGCTGATCATACAGCTGTTTCGAGTATTGTCAAATACTCATCATCAGTGGTCTTAGAAATAATTCTTGTATTTAATTATTCGTAAATAATTATTTTTGAGACTGCAAGTACCAGGAATCGAACTTGGGTTCTGCCAAATGTGAAGCTCAGAATTAGCGCACCTTAATCAGCGTAAAAATCAGCGTAAATAATATATTTTAGGAATGCAAGTACTAAGGGTTGAGTTCGTACTCTGTCAATTTTTAAACTTAGCTCAATTGGAAGCTCATATAATGAAAAATTTTTATATACCTTTAAATTCTTAAAAATAAAGAACTAAAGATTCACACTGATTATATTTGTTAAATATATATTTTAAATGTTTCTGCAAATATTTGCATAAATAAATTATTTTGAAGCTTAAAAGTTGTTTTCTGTTCGTTTTCTTTATTTTGTTCGAAGAAGCAATATTTTAAGTTTCCTTAAAAATAATATATTTTAATGTTAATTTTTTGTTGCCGAAAAAGACATGTTTAGTGACGACAAAAAAACTATTTAAAAGTTAGAAGAGTTCGAATAATTTACTTTACTTTAGTTAAATTTTACCCTTAAGTTATAATAATACATATTCCTCATTTTATGGACTGTTTAACCATTTAACCATATTTTATCTATATATCAAGTCTAAATATTTAACCATACCACATGTTGGTTTTCATATCTTCTTTACTACACGAGTTAAAATTTTTCTAACAAAATTGATCAGGTCAATTTAACTTGCAAGTGGTTAGAGTATATTTTTCTGAGTGTAGATAGAATCTTCTTTTTGATGAAAAACCACATTGAATTTTTTACCCGTCTAAAGTCGTGCCTAATTTAATAAACCAACAAGTTTTTAATTTAAAAAAACAATAGAAATAAATTCGGTTTTATTAATTATATGACACCATGATAAACAAGAAGTTTGTGGCTTTTGATCCTTTCGAAACAAAAGAAAATGTGTGCACATATTTTTCACAAATTTCCTTGGTAAATGACTTGGAAAAGCTTCGCGTAAAAAGAAAATTTTAAACATTAAATAATAAATAACAAAGAAAAAAAAGAAGAAATTTCAAGAAAGCAGAATCCTAAACAATGCCTCATTTGCCACCATATTTCTTCAGTTTCCATAACTTAGTTTCCTTTTTGCCTTCTGCCTACCCTGACTGATGGTGAAAAGAAGCCGCTGTCATTTCAATGGCGAAACAATAGAGGAAATGTTCGCGCAGCTGACACTGAATGAGTATGAAAGATAAATAAGTAGACCTACAGCCTGACACATATCAACTTCATTATTCCAGTGTTTTGTTCGGAATTCGATAGCAGGCACAAGCATATTTTATAAATATTTTAATCTGACATATACCCCTACGATACTAGCTCGCTTTTTATTAACCTATTTTTTACGTTTAAAATATTTAAAATATTTTCTTTTTGCAGATATGGCGTGAATATGATACCGACAACTCTGGCTATATTGAAGCTGATGAACTGAAAAACTTTTTACGCGATTTACTCAAAGAGGCCAAAAAAATTAATGATGTTTCCGAGGATAAATTAATTGAATACACTGACACAATGGTGAGTGAATGAGAGTGCATATATCCGTGTACATCAGATGAATTTTACTATGAAAATATTTTCCAAAAAATGTATTTTAAACTGATTCTGTGGTGTTCATCAAAAGTAAATTAAGTGGAAAAAATATGTTTATGTTTTTAACATTAAGTGGATAGTGATTTTTATAATTTAATTATTAAATAATATTGTGAAATTAATTTTTAAATATTTTGCATTTAAATTGTCGCCATAGAAATACAACTTAAATCCTTCCAATTGCTCTTAATTCATAAATGATTTTATTTTAATTAATGCGTTGCATTTAGCGACAATCTAAAACTGTTTAAGCGCACGTGTGCATTAAAGGATTAGCTCTATTTGTACTTGTGATGCTTACTACAGCATTTATATGACCATTTACATACAGGGTGTTAACTAACTAATTGACAGAAGTTGAGAAGGCGATTTAATGGTGCAGAAAGTGAAAAATTCGTAATGAGAGAGAGAGGTCATTTTCAATATTAACCAGCATGCAGGGTGTCAAAATAAAGTCTAGTCATAAGTAACCCGCACTAGAAATAAATAGTTCATTAAATTTTTGTTAACTCAAAGTCTAAAATATTTTATATTGAAGTAAGTTCGAAAATTTTTATGGTTTAAGTTAACTTTTATATATAAACATTGCGCCAAATTTTCAAAAAAAATTAATAGGACCATGTGCGAGTTCGAATAAATTATAGTAAATTAAGGGACATGGTAAGAATTTCAAGCAGGGTAAATTACCACTGTGAAAATTTTGTAAAACGTTTAATAAAAAAATAAATAAATTTGAAAACTATTAACATTAACAAAAAATAATAAATAAGTGCAATAAACAATTATTTACATAAGTGCAGTGCAAAAAATCCCTAAAAAATTTCAATTTACTTTACCTCAATTTACCCTAACTCGCACACGGCCTACATAGTATTTAAACATTTTTGTAATTTTTTTTTCGTTTATTTTTTATATATCAACCCACAATTATCAAATGATTTTTTTTGTATCTCAACTTATATTAGAAATTAACCTATCCCTACCACACGAATTTTCTCTTTCTGGAATAAAGTTATTACCTCCCGTATCTATGTTACTTTGGAAACACCCTGTCTATATATATATGTAGTATATAATTACGAATATCATACACATTGAAAATTTGTCCACAAATTATGCAACTTATACCGCATTTCACAAACGGCATTTGTTTGCAGTGTGGTTTCCATTGCAGCGGAAGGAATGGCGTAATGTTCTGGTGCATAAACCACAAATTGCAGTTATGAGCCAAGTATATGCCAAAATGAAATTTTCCAAAACGTTTGAGTGTAATTCCCTTACAATGGTTAATTAATTTTTGATGTAATGAGATTAAAATTACAAAACTTAGTGTTATACTAAACTAGCATATCCCAACATGTTAACAAATTTTGCTGCTTATTTGATTTGGATGTGAGTTTTCTTGCTAATTATTTGATTTTCGCCATAAATAATGTTAATTGTAAAGTTATATAAACAAAATGAAGGATAACAAGTAGGAAATGATATTAGGACATTAAAAAATATAAATTTCTATTTATGATTTAATTAAATCAAAATGAATTCAGGTTTCTTGAGAAGACATTAGGATGATTGACATTTGTTTTATAACAGATATTTAATTTACAGTCAGTGCTGAAAATACTTGAGTGGTTCTATTATTACCACGCTAACTAAAGTCACTTTTTTTAAAAAAATTAATCTTTATTATTTTTATCAAAACAATCCTGAAGCAATAACAGCTTCCAATCGTTTTCTATCATACGCTAATTTTTTCAATCCGATATTTTTAGTCTTTTTATATTTGTAAATACTGTATCAAATCATTCTTCTGAGACCACCATTATCTTCCGATTTTACCGATTGGGATTATAGCATAAGCTTGTTTTATTGCTCAGCCGAAATATACTCTTACTACATGGTCCAAACGACTTATGCATAGTCATTCAATATATCTTATGAGACATTAGTCATTGATTATTCCGTCTATTTAAGCGTTATATCGAATTCAATGAAAAATCAACAACAAAAATTTGATTAATTTATTGAAGTTTATTGGTCAGCCAAATTTCAACAAAATAAAAAATGTTTGTTGTTGCTTCTTTATTACTGTGTGAATCCTACTAGTATCTTTTTCAACCTTAAAACTATATATATTTTTGTTTTGGTTGAGTAGCTCAACATATTTTTCTTCTGATATAGAAGTTATATATGCGAACCAATCTGATGTTAGAAGTTTTCACTTTCCAGGCTTTCTAAGATTTTGAGAATAGTATTAAAATTTATTTTTATGAATATCTTTAACAAAAAAAATCAATAAAATATATTTAATTTGCAGAATGTTAACATTTTATTAAAAGTACTTTAAAAATTAGGTTAAAAGGACCAATTAATTTTAAATTTTTGTTGTTGATTTATGTAACTCATTCACATTATTTTATACCAAATTTTTAAAACTCGTCAGATTGTATTGTATTTCTACTTCACACTGTTTCGAAACTACCTCAAACAACTAAAATTATATTTTTTATGACTTTTTGAAACTTCCTACATAATTGCCATAACGAAAAGTACTAAAAAAATAAAATATTACGAACAGCCGTTGATGCCAACAAGTTTAAATTACAAAACTTTAAAAATAAAATTTGAATTAGGACACCGTGGAAAACACAAAATGTATATAAGCACGTAAGAGTTGTACATAGTTGCATATTGTATAAAATTTTATTTAAAGGAAATTGTTGGGATTTCATAATTTGAGTTTTATAACTCCTTTGAAAGTTCTTTCATTTTACTTTTAAACACCATACGAAAAATTATAGTCTTTTAAATATTAGTCGCAACTTTATTACTGAGAGAATAATGATAGGTGATGATAGTGAGGCATAGATTAGTAGATAGTGTTGACAGTGATAGTCACACCCCTTTAAAAAAGTATAAAAGTACACAAAACAAAGCTTATTGTAGAAAAGAAATATCGCCCAAAAATATATAACATGTGTTTAGATATGTTTATATCGCTAATAATTTTATTCCTTCCCTATTCTTATTTCACTCTCTTATTTCTTACTTCAATTTTATTGGGTTGCTTTTAGATAATTTATGCTTATCCTATCTTATCTTACATTCCAATTATCTCTATATGACTCATGACAATCATGTCAATGTGGGAACTAGAGTTTCCTTATTTATAATTACATTTCCTTTCTTTTTTCGGATCTACCCTTAGAATATATATGGGACTCTAATTTTATCAGTAACAAATTTTTGTTAGCTTTAGCTTGAGATTTTAATCGTCTCGATATAACAGACAACAAATTTAATGTGCCTTCAAATTGGGTTTTTATTCGTTTCGATATAACAGTCTGATTATAATTACATTCCTCTTATTTGTTTCTATTCATCTCTAAAATATACATTCAACTTTAATTTCTTTGAAGGCAGACACAATTTTTGATTAAGCTTCGGTTTTCAATCGTCTTAATAAAACAGATAACAATTGTATTATTGATGTGGATACTAGAATCACTTTTATTACGTTTATATTATCCATTTCTATTTCCTAATCCTCGGTAAAGTACAAATGAAACTCCAATTTTATTGTTAGCATATTACAAATAACTTTTGGTTTGCTTTTCTAATCGTCTCGATATAACTGAAAATAAGTGTTCGGATGTAGAAACTAGAGTCTCTTTGATTACGATTACTTTCCTTTTTTCGGTTTCTAATTCTCTCTAAGATATAGATACAAGTTCAATATTGTTGATTGTATATGTTAAGTAACTTAAACTTTGTTTTCCTAAATCTCTTCGATATAACTGACAAAATTTGTGTATATATAAAAACAGGGTCTTCGATTACAACTTTCTTATCTGTTGCTTTTTATCTCTAGAATACAGATGGAACTCAAATTTTCTTGATAATAGATTATAGATAACTTAAGCTTAGTTTCTAATCGTCTTTTATAATACATAGCAATCGCGTTTTTAATTGAGAAATTTGCATTCAATTTAGACTTACTCTACATCTGTCAAATTTTGTTACCCAGTCAAGCATTTTTAGAGTAATCTAACATTATTATAGTAGTATTAGTAGACATTTATATTTTTCATAAATACATATTATGTGTCGAATCACATCACACTTTATCTGTCAAATGATCTAAAATAGCTGTTAATTTCAGTGTAATCTTGCTACTCTGGCAAAATATCTAAAGTATTGTAAATTAATCTGGGGTGTTATACATTTTGCCCCATATTTACCAATCTAAAATAATAATTGCACTAAAAGTGCATCTCGCTTAAAAAAATCACCACAGATTTATCCCAGATCGAAAATGCCATAAGTGCGCAGTTGAGGTAACCAGAGTCAGCTTTTTTACGATTATCCCTTTAACTATTCATAGTCAACTTTAGAATATAGATGAGACTCTAATTACCTTGGTGGCAGCTTTGAAATATGTTTTGTATATAATAAAGCGATTAGGATTGGTTGGTTGGCTGCAGTGACAGGCCATTAGATAACTCCATTTGGCTACCACATTCCTCGCAAGAACCCTAGTATAGGAGAATAAACACTAAATCCATTTCGCCGAATTTAGATAATTTAATAGGTCTTTCATCTTCACCGATGAATATAAGTATCTTCCTAAAAACCTATATCTTCTGGACGTCAAATCCAGGCATTCACAGAGGAAATGTATTATGATTTCTTTTTTCGTGTGGGTTTCCACAACTGTTGCAGTGAGAATTATAAGGAATGCACAGTTTCCAATGATCAGAAAGAATTGTAGTAAGCCTTGCAGTGTTCACGCGATCTCTTTTGATGAGTTCCGTGGATCTATTTCTATTATAGGTAGGTCATGTTAATCAGGAAGTTGACTTAAGTGCTTTTCAACTGTTATTAGCAAATTGCAGAAACTAGAAGAAAGTAATGGTCTCTAAGGTAATATAAACCGCTACCGCCAGGGACAAATCCAGGGAAGCACCAGAACGGGCTAAACTGTCAGATTTCTCATTCCCTTTGATGTTCTTGTGTTCAGAAACCCATATGAGGAATGATGTTAGCTAACCCATTTAGGCGATTAAGTTTACATCCTGCTTTTCTCTTTCTTTTTACCTCGAAGGGTTTCTGTGAAGAACAAAGTGTGGATAACTGTTCAAGTATTACTACCGACTGTAGTAATAAAAACCTGGTATTTTTTGAGTTATGATCCACAAAAATAAAGTTTCTGATTTAATCACTATTTTTAAAGAATTTAAAATTTTTAAATAAATTGTATTTAATAAAAGGAAAACATATACATAAAAATACCATATATCAACTTTTCTATGTTTCAAAAATATACTTCGCAATTTTACCAAAAAAAAAATCAAAATCTTATTTCGAATAACCCTACAGATTTTTTTTCATAACCACACTTAACATTTGAGATTGTTTACAGTAAGTGCATTCGGAATGACTTTAAATACGATGGATAAAAAAATTGTGAAGGAATTTCCACTAAGCAGAAGTCACAATTCCCAGCATGCATAATTCTACGTACGTTTAATTGTTCACTGTGTACTTAACAAACTTTTGACATTGACTTTGAGTGTGAGATACATAAAAGTCAAGCACTCAGGTACAAGATAATATAACAGAAAGGGAAATGAGACCTCAACTACTTCGGCAATTAAATTGCTGCAAAACTGTGGGGCTTTCACATTTTTATTTTCAAAGTTTTTGTATTTATGTGCCCACGTGCCATCGCCGTAAAACTGCTTTATTTCAAGCGACATTAATTAGCAAAATTAAGTTGCATGAGTTTTATTCAGTGGAAATAAGTTGTGGGTAATTGAAAGCCTCCCCAACGGCAGGAAGAGTACCCAATTATACTCGTATATTGTATTTGACACAAAGGATCAAATGTATTTAATTATGTGTATTTATTTGTTCGCATGATGTTTTAGGAATGATTATTTGTTTATGAAGAAATGAGTTTGTTTAATGCTGTTTTTAATTAAAAATTATGTTTTATTATTCAATGTCTTTTTCACTACATGAAATTTGATATAACACAATTCTCTTATGGGATGTGATTAAAAGGTTTTAAATAATTTAAAATAATGTTACCGGATATATTAGACAATATATTTCAAATTTTTTTTTTTGTTAACAGTCTTAGAATGAACATAAAATGACTTAATCAAATTTAATATCTATGTATAAATATCTTTTTTATTTTTATTTAAATTGTTATTATTATTCTGTGGCAATTGCTCATATTACAGGGTTAAATATATATAAAATACTTAAATTTCATTCTTGACCAAATGTGCTAAGACTCTTTGGAGTAGAAATTTTACTTTTAAATTTTCGTGAACATATTTTTGATATTCCAACTCTTAGGGCAATTTTGACATGGGTTGTGTTTATGTAAATTAACCTTAATCACCTCTTTAGTGTTTCGTTTAGTTTGAAATAAAAAATTTTCTTGGAAAATAAAAAAAGAAAATGTAGTAAAAGAGAACTACTTTCTTTAAAGTTTTCCAGTATGCAAGGCTTAATGGGCTTACAAAATATTGTTAAATTTGTATACAAAACTTCTGTTGTGAAACTTTTTACCTGTTTTCACAGGGGAACACTTAAAATGGCATTTGTGCAAGTGGGGTTTGCATAAAAGTAATTCTACTATATTCTCTTTCATTGTTTGCTACACTTAAAAAGATTTTTGAAACAACATTTACGTTAACGAGGTAATCACGGTTAATTAAATATATAAAATTATTATTGTAAATAACGAAAAAGTAGTTTAATTTTGGTGATAATAGAATCTATAATATCCTATTGCTGCAGTTCTTAATCTTAATCTTTCTTAATCTGTCAACAATCTTTATATACACTTAGGTTGTAGATTTTTTCAAGCGATATGAAAACATAGTTTAGGTAATAATAGAACGCATAATATACTATTGCCGTTCCTAATCTTAATCTTTCTAAACCTTCCAATAATCTTTATATACACTGAGGTTGTAGGTTTCTTAAAGCGATTTGAAATGTGATAGAATTGGTAGAATCCTTCAGTAAAGTCTTGTCTATTATTCTACTCTTTTATAGGCATTTCTTTTCTTATTTAATAATTGAAAAAAATTAGTTTTTGTCAGACCACAAAAAGGTTCTTGGCCTACAATTAAAGTTGTTGCTTCTTTTCTTATAAGTTCGTCCAACTGTTCATTACTTTCAATTCGATTAAAACCAGAAATCCATAAAATTTGAATCGATTTCTCCTCGTATGTCTAGTTTTTATGAATTGTCCAGTACTAATTTTGGTATGACCTGATCAGATTCAAATGTTCAAGATTCAAACAATCAGATTCATCAGCGAAGAAATTTTTCAAAAAAAAAGTTTGCATCAAAATTGTAAACTGATTTGAGTAAAATATGAAAATGATGTTTTACTTCTATTTGTCAATATCCTAACACTATAGATCCCATATCCTATAATATCCATATTCTATGCTACATTATCCTTTTCTATAATGTATCACTAGCCAATATCAGCTTATGAGACAGTTCTTGATATATAGTTAAACATTTTTAAATATTCCGATAAAAAAGAAGTTGGCTTTAAAATATTTCGTTAAAAAAATTAATTATATATGGTATGTTAGACGCCATTATTACGAGCGGTTAGGTCTGTGTTGTGTGCGCGGATTGGTTTGCGCGAGGGTTGCAGCCTAGTAAGCTCAGTCGTTAGATTCTTAATATTGGTTGGATTCTTAATTGTGGTTTCGAGCTCCATATTTGGCGCCGTTTAATGTATTTAAACATGTTATTACATATATAGATATATGTATTTAAATGTATGTTTATATATTATATTCGGTTGGCTAGTAAGCTTGTGAAAACCCGACATGCTCCTCTGTGTTGGGTTTTCTTTCGTGCCACAAGCTAACTGTTCATACAATACAAGCAAAGAATCTGAATATATAACTATATATACTATGTGTTTTGTGAGGATTCTGATAATATGTACTGAGTACAGTTATATTAATAAATTATGTACGATCATTTTATGGATCATTTCTGAAACAAAAATTTTTTTGTTATTGAAAAGTTGTATATATTTCTAACTTTATATTGATTTTAATATTTTATTTTTTCTTTAAATATTTATTTTATCTTCTGTTCAACTACATAAATTGATTAACTTTTAAATTTTTTCCTTTAGTTACAAGTTTTTGATGCTAACAAGGATGGCCGTTTACAGCTCTCAGAAATGGCAAAGTAAGTTTAAGTTTGCAAAAAAAAAAAATTTTACAAAAAAATAAAAGAATTCAATTTCTAAACTTTTCATTATACGACAAACTTTAAAAATTGAAATATTTTCACAGATTATTACCAGTTAAGGAGAACTTTTTATGCCGTCAGGTCTTCAAGGTGAGTACAATAACAAACTATTCGTTCTTCATTTTTACATAATTCTAGGAGATAAAAGTTTTGAAACGATATATAAATGAATAAATATAAATTTACTTATAATATTTTTATATATTATGTTTTTTTACTTTATTTTTTTTTTTATTTTTAGAAAAATGTAAGCATTTTGGAACATAGAAATACAGAATAGATATAAAGCTTCTAAATTTTTTTGCATAATTCGAGATAAACTTTTCATTTGACATCATTTCCTTTAAATTCTTATATATAACAAATTAAAATAAAGAGCACAATTTATTCACATTTGTTCTCTCAATGTTGCTTGCATTATACTTCAGCATTATAATAACTAAAATATTTATATAATAACTATATCATTAAGAAAAAAGTGGGTCACAATTTTCACAAAAATAGAGTCAAAATTTAGATTTCAACTTTTTTGTTATTACTTCTTAATTACAATGTAAAAAGAATATTTTATACTAATTTGTAGGTTAACAGTTAAGTTTTTTATCTGTATATATTTGTCTTATATAAGTATATTTATCACATATATATTATATATTCGTAGACATTTAATATGATGTGTATTATCTACCAAATGATATAAATTAAGGAGATGATTAGTAGAAACAAGATATGAAAACTATTTGATATATAATAGCATTCATCCATAATCGATATATATCGGAAAAACTCTATCCTGAAAAAACTTCAGTCACATAAGTATCACTTCTTAAAAATAACTTTATCGAATACTATATATCATACATCAATTAGACAATTTATTTAAAATTATAAATATATAGGTTAATTTGATATCTAATAGGTTGTTAACTTTAATGTACCAAGCAATACCAAGCAAGACGTCAATAACCGAGCAATGCAATACTCCGAATGTACCTTCTTACTGCCAATTTGACTGTTACTAGCTAATTTATCTAATTTAAAAATCTAATCTATTTTCAGTGGAGATTTTAGTAGTATTCAAGCTGATATGAGACGATGGTGTGTCGGGTGCAACCACGAGTCGTAGCACAAAATATTTACAATGGCTACACTGCTCTGCTTCACTAGATGCTTCGAATTCTACTATATTCTAATTATTATTATTAAATTACTGTATAACATTATCAAATTCCATATTGAAATAGCTTAAAACTTTCAATAACTGTCTTAAGGATTTTAATAATAATTTTAATACCTGAAATTTTGTATTTTAATGAGTGCATAACACGTTATCCTTCAATATGAAGTACCCTTCGGCATTTATTTTTAGCTTTGGAAAATCAATTAAATTCATAACCATGTGCTGTCTTAAAATAACTGCTAAAGTTGCATATTTATTCACATTTCGACACATTTTCTGAGGCACCTCATTAAACTCAATCGCAAAACTTTTCAAAAGTTTAAGTATAAAAAGTAAATTCTAATAAATTAAATAATTTTATACCATCGTTTTACTTTCATCCAATTTTATATGCATTGATAATTTAACAAAATTACAATTTTAAAGTTTTTGCCGCATTTTATAAATTAAACAATTTCGTTATTCTTTTGCAAATGTTTCACAAATAATTTGGAAACTTTTGTTAAACTTAAGCAACTACTGCTTCGCTGACAGGATTTTGATGAGCATCAGCAAGGATTTTTGAAACAAAGTTTGTTGTCACTTCTTTATGAATTCAAAAAAAAAAACAGAAAAAAAAAAGTATTAAAAAGTTTCATATTATTGCTAACTGAGCCTTAAAAATATATTTAAATTTATTTTTTCTTTATGAAAAATTTTAAAGATTAACAGAATTTTAAAGAGTCTGGCTTTATGGTAGAAAGTAAAAAAAAATATTGAAAGTCAAGGAGAAGCATTTCATTAAAAATGCATCAACAATAATCGATAAAAATAAAAGGATTATATATAAAGTATTTAAAGTATTGTAATATATTATAAATTTATTGCTAAGTCTAATATAATAATATATAAAGTCTTGTTGCTTCATTTAAGAGCAAAGAAAAAGCATACCAACAAAAAAACCTTATCAATAATTGATGAAAATTATTTTACGTATTATTATGCTGCATGCCAGTGTTCAAATAGACTTTAAGAAGACTGGACTATTGAAAAGAGAACATGCATGCACCCTTCTTTGCTATAGAGTCTGCTATTTCATTGCCCTCATGCTCTTCATAACCACATACCCACCTAAGAGTAACATAGTTCCTCGATACTATAGTATAGAAAAGTTGAAAGCTTTCCCAGACCAACTTTGATTGGATTGAGGAGTTTGCTTAAAATTTTAGAGCTGCTTGGCTCTAAATAGTCCTAAGGCATGGACCTTTGCCTGAATATTGAAAACGGATTTTTCTCATTGCGATTGTTTTGCGTAATTTTCGTACTATAATTCCTGCTCCTGCCGTGCCATCTTCCATTTTGGACCCATCAGTATGTCATACTTCTGAGCCCTGTTTTAAGATGATTTCGTTATTTCTCTTCTATATATATGTGATATGTGTATCACACAAAATGTGTAAAATAATAAGTTTTGATGACTCCTTTTTTAAAATATTAAAAATTAAAAGTATATGTTTTATATTAGCAAAGAACAGCAATATAAAAAGAACCTTTTATAAAAAAAATATTTAATTTTAATAATTTATTTTGATTGATGTCTACGTACAAATGACTGATTATATTACTAAAGTATCAACTAATTTGTACTCAAAATATTCAAGGTACCTTTTTTATACAACCTTGTATATGTACTTCTTAGTACCTAAAAATTTACCTATTATTCTTTTAGTATAATAAAACCCCATGTATTTGGCTTAACAACTACACGAAAAGGATTATTTCCAAATGCTACGTAAGGGATAATATTTTATTCAATATAAAATACTTCAATAGGCACGTATTCATATATATTTTATTTTTGCTAAAGAAATATTAAACATAAATTGCTGCAGGTGTTGGCAATTTTGTTGGCAGTACGTTCTGCCTATTTTATTACCAAACAAATGGAAATAACCAATTTTGTTACTATAGCATAAACTGGGGTAACAAAAATGCGTTCTACCAGTTATTCAATTTTACTGTTTGCAAATCACAAAAATAAACCAACATAAATTGGTTTCATTTTTGCTAGGTATGAAAAATTGAGAAAACTGCAAGAAGTAAATTTCAGATCTGATACATTTTGATGGCATCTATTGTAACATTCCCAGACAAGGACTGGAAAATCAAAGTAAGAGCTACTAATTGTTCATATTTGTTCCGCTCAAACACAAAAAAATTTATATTTCATATATGACATACTGTGCCTATATGTTATTTGTGTAGAAAAGGTAGCCCTGTCGTCACTTAAACCAACCAACCATTACATACTGAGACATAATGCGTACCATACCTTATTCATCATTTACGATATCAATTTTTTGCTGATTTTTTTAAGTAAACTTCATGTCGAATAAAACAAACATATTCGATATTTTTTTCTGCCAAATTGATTTGAATTTTATGATAAGTCATAAAAAACAGGTGCTTTTTGTTGACATAGCACTTATAGCAATTTGATACCTTCGTTTATATTTCAGGACATAGTAAACCAATTTCATAGCTGTCATTTTTAGTAGTTTTTTTCATAGCTGCAATGAAAAGCAATGGGTTGTATTAAAGCTGAACAAACTTAACCGTCTAGCACGGATACAGGAATTCAAACTATAAAATACACTTACAGTCTTAATGAAAATTATTAAATTAAAACGTGTTCAATACAACATTATAAGTTATTAAGTTTTAGCTCAAGGATATTTGCTGTTGGCAGCAATTAAAATTATTTTTTAACAGTTATAATTATCTATCGCTTTTATGCTGCATAATGATTATTTTTTTATTTTTTACTTAATAACAGAATATTATAATAATTTAATTTTTAATATAATTAAAAGTTTTAACATAGCAAATTATATTATTTTCATGTAAAAATCTTACTTTAAATAATTGCTCGAGTCTAATGGCGTCAAATCCTTTAACCATAAAACCCAGACATTAATTTAATTATCTTATATACTTTTTTTTACAAACATGATAGCTTGGTGTTATAATTTTTTTTTTTTTTGTTGTATTTAAATAAAACTGTTGCTGTTGTATTTGTTGCTCTTGCGAGTATAAAATTGAAAATGTTTACAAAATACAAGTCCTTGCTACACCCATATTGTTTCCTTTAGTTGCTTTCTTTGTTACGTTATTATCCTTGTTGCTGTTGATTTTCATGCTGTCATTTTAAATGAAAAAGGGTCAAGTAGCTATAAAGTTAACAACATTGGTGGTTCTTTTGAATAATTTAAATGCCACAAGATGTATTCATTCCGCTCATATTTACTTAAATAAGCACGTTGTACTCACATTCTATACATAAATATAAACTTACGTTGGCATTTTGCATAATTTTGTTTTTTTTTTTTTGATTTTGTTTTGGAAAGAATATCATTTTATAAAAGTTAACATTTTTTTATCATTCAAATTAGTTACCAAAAACACGAGGAGACTGAGGAAGCTAAGATACTTTTGTATACATCCTTGTATTATCTTAAAATGTTTAGGGTTGTTCTGTAAGGTACATAAAATAATATAAAAAAAAGAGAAAATTATATTAGTGTAAAAGCTGTGTGCGTGGCAATAAGTTATATAGATACTATAAGCATATTAAACATATATATAATATATAAAAATTTTAAATATAATACAATACAAATATGAATAAAAAAGTTATAATGTAGGTTTGAATAATGGCAATTTAATTTTGATGAGTTTAAAGAAAATTTCTATAACAATTTTTTTCTGCTTTTTGTATAACTCATTAAAGTCTTTGTTAAAGCACCATTATCACAAAAAATTAAATTTTTTTAGTAGCAAATCTTTATATAAACAAATAAATACACACAATGTCTTTAACCCACAAAGACATCACTACGAAAATTAAATTTATAGATCTAGGGTTACATATTGCAAATTTATTGCGTATCTTATTGAAAAAAAACTTAGTTTTATTTTATTAAAATCTGTAGAAGGATTCGAATAGCAAAGAATATAATTTATCTTATGTCTTTAAAGTCAATTCTCTATAGAGCGGTAGATAGTTTACTAAATTAGTATATATCTTTAAAGAAGCGAACATTATTGAAGAAACAACAACA